ATGGCATATAAATGTTACATCCAGTGTAGCATTCTTTCATTTACAAAAGCCTGGCCAGCGTTGCTTGTCTTACTATGGAATAAACTAGTGGCCAGAGCACTACCCGTTAAAGCAAGATTCAGGATCTTGGTTCTCCTCAAGTATGGAGCTGTCTTCCAGGAATCTCCTGCCTTCTGAACTACAGGCACTCCTAGAAGTGCTCATTGTGTGCTCCTTTAGTTGAAATTGAGTCATTGATTCTTGCACTTTTTTTTCACAGAGTTAGAAAGGAAGCAAGAAAAAGAAAGAGTGAGGCTCTCTGGTCTTGTGCCTAAGAAGTCAGACATAGACTCCTCTTTCTAATCAGTTCCCATCTTAGCATTTAAGGCTTTGTGCATTGCTCTCCTAAGAACACTTACTTTGGATGCAAGTTGTAACTTAAAATTGACCCACATCTTTCCTTTCTTGTAATTCTGGAGCAGTAAAGTTAAAATTATGTCACCTTGAATTCTCAGTGACAGATGTTATTAGAAAGCTTCTGCTTTCAAGCTGCATCTCAAAATGACTGTCAAATTTGTAGCTTTTTCATTCCCTCATAAAAGATGCAACACTAAACAAATGTGTCAGGATTCAGATGGAAAATTTTAAACAGACAGTAGAGATTTCACTTTCATTTGAAGTAGAAAAGGTAGACGAAGTGGTAGAATAGTGCAGCTGCCAATAATTTCATGGTCTGCTTCCCTTTGTTCCTTTAATTTACATTTAAGGAGAGATTAGTCGTTACAGTTGTCTTCAGTTTAAGAAATGTCGTCCATGCATTTCTAAACTTCAGACAGAACTGGGTTTTATTTCCAGTGCTGCATGAAGCTCACAGATGCAAGGAACGTCTGGTATGCTTTGCATATTTGGTGATTGGAAGTGCGTTTTGACTATTTGAAGAAACTAAAGCTGGTTTAAAATTGAACCTTGTTAACCTGTGTGGCTTCTTCAAAGAACTTGTATGGGTCTTGTGAGAATGAATACAGTTACAGATTACCGTATTGCTTCACTGGATATAAAGTCCACATGTGGCTATCTGTGGTGCAGTCCCTGTGCTGACAGTTGGAGCAGTCCAAAGTTCAGTGTAGTGTTCACCTTCAGTAGTGGTTTTGGAGCAGTAGTCTGGGATGTTCTGCAAAACTGGTGTAGAAGTGAAATGGTCAGATAGCCTCTTTGGTACACCAGGAGTATCTACTAAAAATTTCAACACCAGCATAGGTTTTGGGGGAGTTATTGGCCAAACCAGTTGAAAAATGAAACACATGCTGTTCCAAGATCCATTTTAGCCTGTTTTGGACCAAGTAACTAGAAGCAGTACTTTCAAATAAAAACTTGAGCTTAGACAGCTTCATATCTCAAATTTTAAAACACAGTGCTTTAATGTTAAATTTATTTTTCCGCACTTGGTGTTGTTTTAGAGTGTCTGCAAAGAGAAATTAAATCTTCATTTTAGAACCAAAAAGGGCTAAGAGACGCAGAAATCCTGAGTGCAGGAATTGGAAAGGTGTTTTTACTGACTGAAGAGTGTTTAATTTTGCCAGTTCTCAAGCTATCCAGTTCATTTGTGAAAAAAGATGAATGTCGGGCTGGAACAAGATGTCAAATTCATCAAGGTGGCCAGATTTTTAACTGGATTCCGAAAGAAAGTGAGGATCTGTACTTCCTGTGAGTGGTAGCAGTTTGTGGGTAGCAACATTTTGTATGCATTGCAGCTTAGAGAAGGGTATACTTTGTACAAGGTAGAGTTGTAAGGTAAATGAGGACTATATACAAGGAAAAAAGGCAATGTATGAATGTGGTGGTGTAGATGTGGAGATAGATGCGCAAATATGTAGTCTTGATAACTGGTCTCAGTGCTAAAATAAAATGTTTTAATATATGAAAGCAATGATGGGAGGAAAAGCTTTCTTCAAGGAACAAAGTTTTCCTTCACGTAAGGCTCATAGCTCTGTGTAGCCAAGTAACATGTAGCAGACATGTTTTAAATGGGTTTTGATACTTCCCTGACTTGCCTTTTTTTGTTGTGAGATGCCAAATAGGAGCAGGAGAAGAATTTTTTGAGAGATAAATTTGACTATGAAGTACCTAATTTGAGGATATAGCAAGAAAACCACTGAAATTTTGTCATAGGCTCTTGAAAAAATCATTTATATACATGCCTATGCTAATAGCTTCTCTTTTTACAATCTCTTCAGTATGTATATCATGTAATGGTGCAATCAATTATTTAATGCAGGAGCCATTCTAAATAGGTAGGCAGACAAAAGGAAAGAAAAGAAGGAGTATAAGTAGGGCTTGCAGAGTAAATTGCATCTGGTCATGGAAGAACTCTGGGGGAGCACTTGTAAAATTGCACGTATGTCCCTACCCCCGAGTCATGTTCTTGAAGCATGTTTTATCCCCAGAATTCTTTATGCTGGCACCTTCCTGGATGTTTCTTCGAGTGCAACGAAATCTGATGTGCAAAATACCTCTTAAGATTGTTGCATCAGTATTTATATAAAAGTGAATAACAGACTAGGGCTTATAGCAGAACAGCAGGCCTGTATATTCTGTATTCATCTAAAATACTGTACTTACTCTCTCTGTAAAAGTATCTGAATGGAAGCTTAAAGTAGATTGCTCACACTGAAGATGCCTAAACTAAGGGGAAGCCAGGCTTGCACCTTTTTTTTTTTGTAATCATAATTCAATATTTGCCTTTTAATAAAGAATTAAAATTGGAATGCATTTCTAAGATATGTTTGCAGAGCTGGAATTTGAGATGCTGTCTACCGAGTCCAAAGGCTGGTTTTCACTAGTTAGCATTCTGTTGAATGTTGGACCTAGCTCGATGGTTTCTCCGTGACTCCTGAATGATTCAGTAGTAAACATGCTACAATGCTAACATTTAAATTCAATTTTAGGAAAGAAAAAAAGAGGCTTAATAGCAGCTGATATGACAATATATTTGCAGAAATGTTGTGTTCATCTTAACGCAAACTGATAGTTAAAAGCATGAGTGCTTTTAGAATGTAAGTATATTATTGAGATGTAAAGGTGTTCAGAGCTTGGTACTAACACACAATTTAGTTCTTAATAGAAATAATTGGAATCAAGCTGGTGAACTGAGAGCTGGCATCTCAGTAGGTGCTGTAAAACTCCATAATCCACTAAAAGCAGAGTAGAAGGGAAGGGGAACTCTGGCTAGCCAGAATTTTGAAAACATGTTATGCAAATAGTAGGGTTTATGGAAACATTTGTTTTAAACTCTTCAGGGAAAGGAAAAACTGGAGACAAAATACTGGGTGAGGATGTTAAGTAGCAATTTATACTTGCTCTGGAGGATTTACTGGTTGTGTGTGGTCTGTTTATAGCTCCTGTGTTCTTCATTCAGAACATCAAAAACTGCATCACTTGAATGATAGCTGGAGTGAAGCAAGACCTTTTGTTTGAAGCAGCTCTGTGTTATGTTGCAAATCATGGTGATTGCTACCTCTTACCTGTTTTATGGGAAGTGACTGAGTATGCAAAATGCATGAATATCTTAGTATTGGATTGATTTCAGTCTCTGAATCTTGTTTTTCAAATAAACATTTAATTCAAACTGTTGCAAAGAGTAAATAGAGTTCCCCTTGACTTTGTTTCTTTTCAGTAGCATAAATGTACTCCCGGATCCCTGAGGTAGTTATGCATGCTGTTCCTAGAGCTAAGTATCTGAAAGGACAAGCACAGAGATGGTGTTAATCATTATGGTTGTCTCTTATGGCCAGATTCATTTGTACAGTGCAAGCTTCTAGCTGATAGTTCTTTCTCTTGTGAAATTTTGTTTTTTAAATCAGTTGGTTTATTTTCAGAGAGATGGGGGAATTGTCTTTGGCGTACAAGACACCCTTCTGTTCTCAGGCTTGACTGTGAGCAACTTACAGCGCCAAGCACTCTGGGGTGGAAAGACAACAGCAGTTGTGGGGACAACATAGTTTCTTCTAATCCATATGGTACTCGGGTTTGCTACTTCAGGAGCTCTTCCCACTGCATTCAGCCTCTGGCTCAACCCTGAAGTCAATGCCTGGCAAGAGCAGATAGGTGTGGTGGCTGGACCAAGCGGCCTGGGAGGAAACCAGCCTCTTGGAGTGATTTCCTGTGGCTCATCCTGGTGCAGAAGAGGTCTGAGGTGCTACAGCAGGCAATAGAGGGGGTGAAGGACAGTGTTGCCACTTGCTTGTGTTCACTCTAGCCCATGGGTGCTGCCTTTTCTTCAGGCTGATGGCCACTGTCGTCTTCTGAGAGGTAAGCCAGAGAAGGGTTCTGGCCCATTTACCTTCAAGTACTGACCACTCTTTATAATGCCTTGGGCATTTCCCTGTTGCTTAGCTGCTGCAGTTAGTGCAGAAATTTTTTTTTAATGTTGATTTGGTTTGTGTTTGTTTGTGGTTTGTTTTAGGTTTGGTTTTTTTTAAATTGAGCTGAATTAAGGTATTTTTTTTTAGGTCTATAAAATCTAAGATAATAATATGCTTGAAGTTCTTTAGATTAATTAGGATTTATGAAAGACAGTTACCAACCTCATCAGAATCATCCAGTTCTCTTTGCAGTAACATTTATTTGACAGTGATTGCTCAAAATTTTATTAGCATATTTGTGCTGCTTTGCATCAGTCAGAAAGCACAAAGGAAGTAGTCGCTTTACATTCATAACATGAAGATTTGTGCAGTTTTCAAGAACAACATGGGACAGGAATATGGTGAACTGCTGCCCAAAATAAATGAAGTTATGGCCACAGAAGTAAGAAATGTGTCAAAAGATGCACTGTCAAGTATGTAGAAAGTTGTGGTCATTCTGTAAGTGAAGTGAAATTATTAATTAGCACTCAGGTTCTATTTATTGATAAAATTCAATAGATTTCTAATTAAGATGTCTATACAATTTGGTTGCATTCATGCCTGACTTGTAAATATTCTGTGTTTTGCTTAATAGAAGTGCATTTCTTTTGAATTCCAGCCTCCGGTCCCTTTGGAATTTACTTCAACTGACTTGCATCAAATGACAGGCATTTTTCCAGCTATCCCTTCAAAGCTATTTTCCTGGTACCACTTCTCTCAGCAGACTCTTATCTCCTAGTGAGACTTAAGATTGAATTGCAGTGCTGTTGAATGTCGAACAGCCATGGCGTTGTAACTACTGCTGTTCCCATCACTGCAGAAGTTTAATGTATGCCTTCGGCAGACTGTGTAAGAACTGAGATCAGTCACCATAAACAAAGACTTGAAGGTACCGATTTTGTCTTTTTATTTTCAGAGGGTCCATATGGAATATTTGCTGGCAGAGATGCCTCCAGGGGACTAGCAACTTTCTGTCTAGATAAAGATGCACTCAGAGATGAATATGATGACCTATCGGACTTAAATGCTGTACAGATGGAAAGTGTCAGAGAGTGGGAAATGCAATTTAAAGGTAAATTCTCAAATTAGCAGCACAACTTTAGCTTAAGGAAATGCTTTTAATAGAAATGACTTATTTGGGCTTGGGGCAGCTTTTAAAGAGATTTTGGCAATAACATGAGTAATGCAGCATAACCTTCTTGGGAAAAGACCAGGGATTTCAAGCCTTCTTTCATAGAGAGCATTCTACTACATCCTACTACAGCTTTTTCAACCTTTCAGTTTTATACAAGAGAACTCTTCTCTGCTCGGTTCTTAAGTGGAGAATTTCACTTTCTGATCTTAGTGTAGTTTGGCCAACAGAATTTCTGCTTGCAGGCTGTTGGCTTTGGACACCATGGATTTATGATTAGGACTAAGAGTTGTTTTGGCATGAAAAGTTAAACAAGTTTATCTTGAAATAATTTCTGAAAAGTCTGGAAATATGCCTCTGGAGGGAGGGGGAGCAATTTTTCATATTAATTGAAATCAAAACAGACTGAGGGATTTTGTGCCAGTTTAAATAGGAGTATTTTCAGCCATTGTGTGATAAAGCTTGTCTGCTTAGCTGTGGGAGCATTGAAACTAGGTACTTGGAGTAGAAACAGTAGTGAGCAGCAATGGTATCAAGATTGCTTTAGGAAGCTGAGCTTGCCGATGAATTGCCATCAATTTCAGAGATTTGGGTTCAGAGCCTTAGTAAGTAGGAGAAAAAGTGAATTTGCTGTAGTGCAGGCTAACTAGCAAATGCAGTTGTAATTGATTGTAATGGAATCATAAATCTTTTTCAGAAAAATACGACTACGTAGGTAGACTCCTAAAACCAGGGGAAGAACCATCAGAATACACAGATGAGGAAGATACCAAGGATCACACTAAACAGGAATGAACTTTGTAAACAACCAAAGTCAGGGGCCTTCGGAACTGCAACCTCTTATTCCCCATCACAGAATGTCCTGCATCTTTGGGTACAGTTCATCTGCTGCGAAAAACATCAACAGGTTTTGTACAAGGAAAATAATATACTCACAAAGGAAGATTTGGATACTAGACATTATTTGTGCTGCCAAACTTTTTGTTGCAGTTTATTTGTAATGTCTGGTTAGGCTTCGTTAGTGAAGAGGGGCCAGGGATTTAAAGACAAAAACGCTATTCCTTCGTATCAGTAAGCTGAAGCCTTCTAGTAGTATATATTACAAGCTCTCTAAAAGACGTGAGTCTTCAAGCTCAGTGGAAGGTTTGAATCTTGTTTTATGTGTGTCTTCTCCTTCAGCATTAAAGAAAGACGTACTCATGTACATCAGCATCAGTAGGTTAGACTACTGAAACTGGTGTTAAAATGTGAATTTCCAGTTTTGTTTTGTATGGGCGTTAGTTGCCCTGGCGGAATACTTCAGTTCTCTAAGAGAAGTCCATGTAGATTAGGATGGGGGTAAAATTCATCCTTTTCTCAAAAGGATTGGGTAAAACTTTTTCCTCTGCAACAGCTATTACCTGAAGCCTGCCTCTCTCCCCTTTTCCCATCTTCTAAATCAAATCAAATCAAATCAAATATTAATTGTGCCTTATTTCGCTTACATAGACTTGAATTGTTTTAAGGAACAGCCCCAAAATTCTGGTTTCATAGTCACTACAAGCAGCATTGAGACTGAAGTTAGAATGTTCTGTTGACTGGAAAACCTTGATGTCATTCTGTGTATAGAATGTAAAAGAGGAATACTCAGTGTTACTGCCATATGTTAATACTACATATACTTAAATTAGCATTGTGATGGCCAAACGCGTACTCCCATGCTTCTTTTTAAGTAATTACAAACACACAAAAAAGTCACCCTTCCTCCACTTCCAGAAGCTGCCTAACTTTTGGGAGCATAGCCTTCACACCCCTGTAGACTGAAGGGGCGTGCGCGCGTGTGTATGTGTGTGTGTCTGTCTGAATGCAAGACTTGGGAGGGATTGTTTCTGCAGATATTGTAAATACAAGTACCATTTTAATAAAGCATGTACAATACCAAATGTGTTGTCAGACTTTATGTGGAGGCTGTTAAGTAGAGCTGGAGAATGATGGAATACAAAGTAAGGGGAAGAAGTCTCGCATATGTAACATCCATCACTATTAATGCTTTTCCTCTCTTGTAGTGTTATTTTTCCTTTCAAGACCCAGCTTTTGAAGAATCTTACTCAGGTAAGCTGTTTTTAAGGGAATAAGCCTATGCCAGTGTACTTACAGTGGGGGAAAAAATTAAGTGATTGTAAATAAAGGAGAGGAGCATTCTAGGAAGCTGTATAATGTACAGTAAAAGGAGTATGTCCCGAGGCATTAATAGGGCAAGAACACTGGGGATCCATTCACAGGTATCACTATTGTAAAAATTTCACTGTCTACTCTGCTAAATTCACAACTGTGGCACTTCAGCTGGTGACTTGCAGCTTTATGGCTTACACCTGTACCTGTTTGCAGATTTCACCTGTGGTAAGTCTACAGTAACAGACTTCTGTACATACATTCTGTTGAACTGTAAATTATGAAATTCCAGGTACTGTAAATGAAACAAACAGAAATCTTCCATTGAATCACGTCTGATTCACGTGTCCTAGAAGTCAGGTTCAGTTCTCTTTCTTGCCTGTCCAAGCTTGGCATAGAATAGTTTTATCAGAGCAGAAGCAGTAACAGAACTGGAGCTATTTCTCCACAGAAGTTAGGTGACACTTGCAGGTTCTTGTACAGGCTGAAGAAGCCAGTGAGGTGTGTGGCTACTCAGCTACTGACCATAATCTAGCTGAGCACTGGTGCAGTGTGCAGGCTTCGGTTTGCACATCAGTACTGTCTGCTGAACACTGCTGAAATGCTGGGCATGCTAGTGGAACTGACCGCAGAAATGTGTGGTTTAAATGGAACAACAGAAGCTACCCAGTAAAGAAAAGCTTTCTTGCACAAGACCGGGAGCTAGGAGTGTTTAAGCACCAGTTTTTTAGCTGGACGCTTTACTAAGGAATTTTAGTTAAAAAAATACCAAAAACACAAAAAAACCCCACACACCCTAAATTTCTCTGTCAAAGGTTTTACACTATACTTCATTTACTGTATGTTTTTCACTTTTTGCTTTTGCTTCAGCTCATGCACCTCATCATGGCACAAAGACCTGTGTAGCTGTGGAGCAGGATAAGGCGGCTTACCCAACTATCAGATAGGACAACCAGACAAATCTTTATTTTTTTTTTTTTCAGACTTCCACATAAAAATAGGTGCACTGTGTGTTACAGCTTCTACTGTACAAAGCCATGGCTGGAGGTTCATAACACTCGCCATGCGTTGCTCTGCTCTTAACTCATTACAATGATTCAAATTGCTACACCTGGCATAGCTGTAGCATCAGTCATGCTCGTAGCTGTTTCATGTAGAAAATTCCTACTGGAGAAAGAATGGTACAGTTTTACATATGTCACAACTGCCTAATCCAAGTGCAGCCTTTTCCTTTCGCTTGCTATACGAAGTGTAGTGAGGCTTAATCACATTGAAGTTACATGAAGTTTTGTTTGTTGATTGTGGGTTTTTAAAATTGTTTTAAAAGAACAGTAACATCAAGATGCGTAAAGGATGACTTTTGCTTTGAAGCAACTTAATGGTAACTGTGAAGAATACAGAACTGTCATACTATGGCAGCAGTATGTTGCATAGACTTAATCCTGTATTTTGCTGTCTAGTGGATCTAAATTAGCCTGATTAATCCTGCATACAAAGTCACTCATGATTTAAAGCTGACAACCTGAAAAAAAAAGTGCTTTAAAGCACACTGTAGCTTTCATTTTTATAAAAGACTGACACAAAGAATAATTTAGAATAACATCAGATCCATCAAAATTTCAGTGCAATTAACGTAGTAATTTTATGGAGACACTTATCCTTGTAATATTTATGTCAATCACTTGGTCAGAAGTCACCATTAACTGAAATGACAGGCAGGTTGATACTGACAATGTGTTAAATTTTGTTTAAGCAACATAAGGGACTTGAAGGGAGTATTTCTCATCACCTTCAGAAACAAAATACACTTCCAGTTTAATATCTAACTTGTTTTCCTAGGTTAGACTTCATGTTAAACTAGTTTGAGTAGTCATTTGACACTTCTGTCTCATTTGTATATTGCTTCCCAAAACATGCTTTATTAGGGCAGAAATCTATTTTTTAACCTTGATTTTTTTTTTAAAGCTACCATGTTGTTAATTTGAACATCTTGATTTTCCACTCAGAACTACAGAATTATCCTTTCACATGCTTGTACTTGTTTGTTTCTTTTCACTGAGCCACCCGTAATTTTCCTTGGCAAAGGTTTAAATTTTCTGTCCTTCAGAGTCGGACATACCATGTAAAAGCACTTTGACCTCTGCTTCTGATCTTGTTTCACTTTAAATATCTTAGTTCTAAGTTATTTTCTCATGTATTTTTTTTCTTCCTGCAAAATCCATTTGATTTTACTATTTTTATTGTAGAGGTCGAGGAATAGTTAAACCTCACTCTTTTTTTTGAGTCTCTGATAATTTTTTCTCTACAATCAAAGTTTGTGGGGTTTTATTTCCTCCAGGAAATGGATGCGTTGTTGTGTGGAATAGTACAAAATATTGATCAAGACCTGGTACATTTTGAATATCATGGTCTTCCTAGCTCTGGTTTACTTGGGGGTTTTTGTTTGTTTGTTTGTTTTAGGACCAAGCTGTGTGGTTTTCCATGAAGTGTAACTCGCTCATTCAGCAACTAAGTACTGAAGTGTTGCTAAAGCTCATTTATTAATTCCAAGTGTGTTTGTGGGGAAGTCCTACAGCCTTAAGAGTTCATCTTGCAGTCTTGCTTTTCTCCCATTTTACTGTTGCATACTGAAGTGTAGCTGTGGGGAAAACCCTGCCCTCGCTGCTGTCCGACTGATCTTTCAGGCATGAATGGAATGGTGCAATTGCAGCTGTAGGTTTGGCTATTTACTCCTTTTCCTATTTAACATCTGCCCTTGAAGGCTTACTTAAATATGGAAATCAAATAAATAAGGATGGATGTTACTGGCAAATCCTTCCACTGGCTTCTAATTTATGGTTAAAGGTGAGTGTTTATTAGCAGGTGTTTATGGATTGCATTCTAAACTTGCTTTTGGTAGAACATGTGTGCCAAGGTAGTTCAAATGCGGGTTGAGGGAGGTTTACCTGAAAACTTAAAAAAAAAAAATCAAACCTCAAACTCGTTCCTCACCCTTTCTCTGTGGGGATTCTTGTGTTTTGTGTAATTTTGTTCTGTACTGGAAGGCAGCAGCTTTAACGTGTTTCATAGAGGTCTAGTCTAGCACTGCAGCCTTCCTGCAAAAATAATGAACAAATGAAATTGTCGCCATTCTGGTTACAAAGCTTACTCGGGTTTGGGTTTTGTTGGGATTTTTTGTGTTTGGTTTTAGTTTTGGTTTCTTTTGTGGTGGTCATATTTTACAGACCTGTCAAATTTTCTGGGTAACTGGGCAAAGCCTACAAGTGTATGCACTTTTTAAGCAGCTAAGAATAAAGCCTTCTGGGAGGCATGAAGTTCTGGGGGCAAGACTGGATTTGTCACTTGACCACAAGCATTCAATTATTCTTTTTTTTTACTAGCAAGAAACCTCAGCTAATCAGCTTTGAAGGTACTAACCAAGGCACTACCTTAGAACTGCTAACAGATTTGATCAGAATTTTTTTTTTTAAATAACATCTTGCCATTTAAGCTGTACTCTCATGCTGCTTAGGTCATACATCCAGCAGCAATACCTTAGACTGCATTTTCACTGTGGTGGCTGTGGAAGTGTAAATTGCAAAGGGAATTGCGTGTGTGTATCCCCTCAAAGAAAAAACAAAACAAAACCAACCTCACCCCCAAACCCCCCCACCCCAAAAAAAACCCCCAAAACAACCCAGACCAAATCACTCTAGGCTGAAGACATCAGAGAATAAAACTCTGAAGATGATGGTTACAGCCTGGTGTAGCTGTGGGATTTGTCAGTAAAAGAACATCAGCTGATGCTTAGTCTCTTCCTCTGTCTGGAGCTGCGGGAGGGTCATTTGTCACCTCAGTGCAGCAGTGATGCCTGAAGCAAAGTCTGCAGGGTACAGGCTGCTATGAATACAAACTGGTTTCTGTTCATTCTAATGCTTTATCTGCCACAGAAACCCAAATCCCTGTTAAACTCCAGGAGCATCAGTCAGGCAGATGCTCGCCATCAGGAACATAAGCCATCTTGAGTCTTTCCTCCTTCAGGAGGCCTTCAGAATCTGTCTTTTGAGCATGACTAAAGAAAAATCTTAATGAGTTGAGGCAGGGTAGTGTTTTGAAATATTTGTATGGTCATTTCTCAAGAGAAGAAATGAAGACAAACCTAAACAACATTCTTTAATAAGCACATGGGAGAATTTTTAGGCAAGGAAGGGTCTAAGACTTGCTAAGCATTTGTCTTAAGACAGGTAAACTTGAAGGTAAGGCTTAAACAGACCTAAAAGGCATCGGAAAGGATGCTGGACACATGCGTGTGTTCAAAGACAGAGTTATGGCTCTGCAACAGGTATGCCAGTTATTGAAAGGTGATTAACCACTTTAAGTCATACAGTGAGACAAGCTGCTTCACTAGCAACATCTGTTGGCATTTATTCTAAAATTCAATCATTTTGTTCTCAGCTCAGCAAGTGAACAGCAGCAGTGTAAGTATCGTCCTTTCCACCTGTCTGAAAGGAGAGAGGGGGAAGATGCAAGCTGATGGGAAGTGAAAGGGTGTATTCCTGAAAGGTAGTCTGAACTACTGACCGACCTGGGTATTTTTTTTAATGCCGCTAAATAAAGGGATCTGTCGATAACTAGCCCTGCAGAGGCCAGCAGGACAGACAGCAGGTAAAGTATTCATTGCTTTGCTTTCAGCTGTATTTATCATTCACCTGTCATAGTCTTTGACAAACACCCAGTCATATGAAAAAAAAGAAATCAATATTGAACTTGAAAACTGGCTCACATTCCAAGAACCACTTCAGCTTTAAGGGGCTGGGTTTCCCCAATACCTTAGTGCACGAGAGGCAACAGGAATTCACATGCACATCTACAGCCTTGCGCTCTTTCAAGCCATTTTTCTTCACGCTTTGGGAAAACAAAAGTTGATATACAACACTATTAGGGTTTTATTTTTTGTTATTATAAAATCTGTCAAGATATCACAAAATTACACACACTAAAAGATTCATCTGCATATTTTCCAATGAAAAAGTGAAAGGAAATAAATCTATTGCTTGTATATACAATTTCAATCCAAATTTACATTCACATCATTTTCTTGGATAGCAAGATGAGATGTGTCACTTCAGCATATTTATAGGATGCTACTTAAAATATCGGTCTATGTTCATTTAAATTCATTTAGAACAGGCCACTTACAAAAGGCTCAATTTTGTATTGAAATTGTATTAACTGTTGGGAAGGCCACTGCTAACGGAATAATTTACAGTGCAAACATTCACAATTCATTTCATTGAGATTCACAAGACAATGACTGAAAAATCAATGGACTTGTTATAACCTCTGAGATCTGACACAAGTTCAAAACCCCAGGCATGGATGTGCAGCCAGTGAGGATACCTTTGTGGGTTAAGGCATTTGTGCTAGACGTAACTTTTAAACTTTGAAGTTAAAGCAGATGTTCTTCTCACCTACTCTTGGGAAGAGGTAAGTTACCGCCTCAGTTCTTTTTGAGTCTTTAAAAACAAAGTAATGAAGTTGATAAGAAATGACAGGATAGAAACATCCCCCCTGCAGACACTAATCTGTATTTGAATAACTTACATTCAGTGAAATTTTATTTAGACCTGTTTGAAATTATTTAGGCTTAGCTAGCTCAATTTAAGCAGAGCTTCACTCAGGTATTGCAAACTAAAGTAACAAAAAACCAAAAACCAAGGAATGCTTTGTTTCCCTCCAAACTAATTGGAAGAAAAAATATTTTTCAAATGTATGCCTATCCTGTTAGAGTACTTCATAATCACAGGAGAAAGTCACATGAAGACACCTCTCAAGCCAAGAGTAATTTGAATAGTTTGCAACTTTAACAACCTGCACCAATTGTAGATATTGTGTATTAATTTAAGACGCTATGAAATCAACAGATCCGTTTTCCCCTGTATTTGTCTTGCTTGAGTTATCAAGAACCAGTACTGAAAGAAATATCTGCAAAACCATCCTATAGCAATGTCCACTCAAACTTTGTACTTAATAAAATACAAATTATGGAGACCCTGAAAAAAACGCAAACTGTGTCTTTAAATAGAATCCAGAAATGCAGTTTCATGTACAGCTGCACGTTCTCAAGTGTGCTTTTGCACAAAAACATACTTTTTAATAGTTACAGATTCAGGAGCAAACCAATCACATAGATCCTGACTTTACATTTACAATTCTATATAGAACAATCTTTGCTTTGGTAAAATACAAATAATGGTAAAATCTGCGTAAAGAAAGCACAGTAAATAACATGGATATATCATACCTTTTTTAAGAAATATGAGCTGAAATGTAAGGCATCCCCAAAGTACTTTTTGCATATGCAAGGAATGCAGTTCTTTGTAAACAAAAGCTTGAGGAAAGCAATACTGAAGCCAAAGAATCTTCCCTAGGATCCTTCTGATGATCCCAAAACCAAATGCAACTCTCCTAGGGTCAGTGTTTTGAAACGAAATCCTACAAAAAAAAGAGAATCCAATCCTTTGTTTTCCCATGCATTTTTAATCACGTATTAGATTGGCTCACCTTAAAGATCTCCAAATTAAAGCAGTGACGTAAAAGTTGATTCTCAAGGGCACAAGCTGGTTTTAAGACTACTTTTCTGGAACATCACTTTCTATAGATTTTGTGGGAGCGCTGTTAGGGCCTATGGACACTTGCAGAGCATTCGCGCTGGTTAAGTTTCCCAGTGCCTGGCACTGACAGGCAGCCATGGCTTTAGCCGCAAGAAGTGTTTTAGATGAATTATACTGATGTCTGCGATGCCCTGAATCCTCATCTGCTGCAGCTACCGGTCTCTTTCTGCCAGATTCTTCACTAATAGGAGGCTGAAAATAAACATTGCCAACCTGTTAAAGGCTTTTCTGCAAGGCCCAGTATTTGCCTTTTCGTACACTTAAAGGATCAAAAATGAAAGCATACAAGAGTTAGGCCCTTAGTTAGGCCTAGTAACCTCAGTTATTCACAACTCACTGTTGAGTGAAATTCCTCAATATCCTAAAGCTTTCCTGGCTGTTTAGCCAGGAGTGCAAGTGCATGACATACTAAGGACCGTAACCAGCCTTACATTACAGCGTTATTTAAGCATCCCTGTCCAAATGATTGCCACAGCTCCAAGAAAATGAGGATTAGATAGGATGATGGTAATGCAGTACTCCATAACCTAGCTGTGAAAAACACAGCAGCACTGTACTCTGGAACCACACAGTTTAAGAATTCAGCATTCCACAAGGAGGATAAAGTCCCAGCAAGGACAATGCCTGCCACAGTTCATTAAGAAAGGCCAGTTGGCCATTAATTAGTTTGCCAAATTCCTACATGGTGTAGAAGTCATCAGTCTTACCAGATGACAAAAAACTATTTTGTGCTATTTATTTCATTACAAAATGAAAGTGGATCAATGGGCTTCTTAGACTGCAGCTGCCACACCTCAGCACCATACTTTAGTTCAAAAAGAATGTCTAGAATAAATCAGTGCATTTTTCATTTGAATTTAATTTTTTAAAATCATTATTTCTAGTGACTGACAGGATTTGCAAAGCTGCCTTTTTGTGCCTATTGTACTCAGTTTACCTTGTGGTAAAAATATCCATACATCAAATATTTATATACTAGGTATTGAAACTTACATCCACTTTGAAGTCCTCCAGTCTCTTAAATTTGCTAAGGTATTCTTGCAGCTTGGGGTCAATGGCTGGAGTCTCATACTGAGAGTACTTTAAATAAGCCCAAAATTTTTCCAGTCCATAGAGCTGACCTAATAATGGAAAAAGATAATTTTACCAATTTACAAAGGTCAGATTTAACTAAAAACTTAATTATTCACTGCTAACTATATGTTTAAGAGAACTGTAAGATAAAAGGAACATGAGCAAAAGCTGCTCTTGGGTTATTTAACAAGTCAGTGCCAAGGAACTGGGATTATCTCCCAACTACAGTTACCCTGGTGTGAGCAGTGACTGGCCTATGATAATTACCAGCTTCATAGTCTCTCTTTGTTTCTTCTTGGAAATCCTTGAATATTTCTTGCCTGAATTTCTTTTCTAGGCCATAGCTGTAAAATCTAAACAAGCATTCCAATCCATACCTGTAAGAGAACAAAGAGGTACAAAAAGCTTATACATACGCTTCTCATTCCTCAGACAGATGCCAGTTTTCAGTCTCTCCTTGCATTTATGTAAATGGCATCATCTCATTTTAGCCTCCTCATAAAAAATGCTTCCCTTTCACATCAGTTTTTAATCAACCTATTCTTCTGAAACACCTTCACAAGTAATTAAAACTGACTTGGGAAAGTCAGGTTTGTCCCACAGTTTTAACTGATGAACTACAAGCACTATAGGCACACATAAAATGCAAGACAAATGCCTTCACATTTTCAGTATGTTTGTATACACAGTTTCAACAACGCCAACCATTGCGGGTCAGACCAAAAGTCAGCTGAACCCACCACCAGTGCAAAACCAGCTGTGTGGGGCAGCACTTGGTGTTGTTTCAGCTCCTGCACACCCCATCACCAGGGTTTCTGGCTCAGTATTTCGTAACACTCTGGCTTTGGCTACCACGCCACCATTAGAGCTGCCTTGGGCCTTGAGATAGCTGGGATCTCCTTCTGTTCTGCAGTCATCTGCTGTCACCTTTGTTCCCTTAAAAGCCTTCTCAAGTTTCTCCTGGTAAATATGCCTTTGGATAATCACCAAGGATCAAGAAAGCTCAGAGAAGAGACAAGGTATTATTAAAGCCATCTTTGCACCCCAGAGTCTGCAGTCTCAGACAACAGATCTGAACTTCAGGATATCAACCATGGCCAGTACTTCCTCACTTGGCATTCCAAGCATTGAGCTACCTTGTCTCTCTGGGAGAGAGGTAGGGGGAAGTGGGTGAAAGGAAGGAAATAATAGCATCAAAGGGGCAGTGCTAATTTCCTTTGTGGTATTTTTTTTTGTATTTTTAGAAGGCAAGAAGCAGTCTGAACAAGTTGAAGAAGGTTATTATCTTCACCTCTGTAAGGAAGAATCTTATAAGCATTAGTAAGTAGAGAGCTGACTTGTCACAGTCAAGTTACAGGAGTTTATGGAACTCAGGACCCATTAGAAGTCAGGAAATGCTGTATGTGTAGCCATTTATCTGTAAAGCACAAATATACAGAAACAGACTTTTGGTATTAAAAAACTTACACAGCTATTTTAAAGACTTACAGAGTCAAAGCTAATACTAAAAACGTTCCCTTCAAATATACATAAACTTAACAGTCATTAAAATGAGTTATAAGACCTCAACAATTTGTAACTTCCAGGAAAACCCAAATACCTGTAGTGTTCTTTTGCATCATCCAGAGCAAGTTGCCTGAACTCTTCATACATTTTCTTGTTAAAGTGATCTCTCAGAAAAAAGGACCAGAAACGAAAAAGTGTGTTCATTTCTTGGGACTGGCCAATTCCCAACCGTTTCCTCTCTGGGGTAGGGGAAACAGGAGAGAGAGAAAAAAAATTTAAAAGCATCTATTTTAAATTTTTCAGCAGAATATTTTCAAGTGCTCTCCCATTAGTAATATGCAAACATGATCTTCCAGTAACTTGAGTTAAAACTTGAGGGCAATTTTTTTTGTCAAGGAATTTAAAGTTCAATGGAAAGCAGAGTTCATAAAATATAAGCGTCAAATAAATTTTGTTTTCCTTTATCAAGAAAAATTAAGAATAAGGAACAATGTGGAGAAAACTGGTATCAGATGACACCTGGTAACTTCCACCTAAAATTTTAGGAATTGCATTTAGCAGCTTACCCATTAGACACCTTCGATGGTATTTGTGGTACACCTCTTGAGTAAAGCCATTTTCTTTTAACAGTTCATGGGAAGAATGCTGAAGCTTTGGAAGAGAATTTGGGGTACACTCGTAGCTTCCTGCTAGTGGAGCTTCTTCTGAAGGTGAAGCATTGGAACTGCTGGATTGTAAAAAAAATAACCACCACACATTTCTGTCCTGTAAACAGTGCTTTTCTCAAGTCAGTTTTCAACCATTCTGATGTATACAAAAGCTGTCAGAATAGCACAGTCACCTGAGGACCTCTACAATGTGTGCCTGGGGTGCCAGTCACCTGTTTTCAGGTGTACCTCAAGAAAATCAGAGTCTGTGCTAATATGTCAAAAAAACAGGCAGCTTTGGATTATGATGATTAAACATTACTTTAATGCCTGGTTTTAAATGACCACTTAACAGCAAACAGCAAACAAAAACACTGAACTGAACATCAGTACTTGAAGTAATACTACTGCTACTATACCATAGATCAACAGAGAGTAGTCGAGTTAGCTTCCTTCCCAATAGCCTTGTATTCCATCTTTTTTGTTTTCCTTGATCACTGTATTGATAAATCGTCTTTTATTGCAGCCAACTTCTCCCTTAGCAGTGAGAACTAATGACATTGCAACCAACTTTTCTATGGCAACTAAAAAAAAAAAAAATTACCTCACAGAGGAAGTTCTTGACCTGTGGTCTCTGGAATCCATCACCCAGCCCACGTGGGACTCCAAAGGAGGATTTGTACTGTGTCGTGTTTTTCTTTTCCTTGGAGTCTAAGAAAGTAAAAGAAGTATTTATTTCCCTAATTTGATTTAACTCATTCTCTCCCTCTTATAACAAAGTTCTAAAAATTTAATATTCTATCTAACATTACAAAGTCACAACACTCCGGTTTCATAACTTAAGATTAGTCTTACGTAACAAATTAAAAATCTTTAGACATTACACTTTTTCATCAAAGATTTTTAAGAAGTGTTAGAGAAAACTTGGAAACCATTTTGTAGAAATAAAAAAAGAATGAATACAGTAAATATTTTTGAAGATAAACAATAAAAAAGTACCAGTGTTTCATTTTTTGCCTTTTCATTCTTGTTAAATTGCATGCACAGACATGAGATTTACAGGGTTTTTCTGTTTTTCAAAAAAATTTACATCTTTCCATTTACCTTTACATCAATGGATCTTGCTTCTTTAACAACAGGATAGAACCTGGGTGTTTTGTTGGGATCCTGTAGCCTCGGGGTGCGAGGCGTTCGTGGGGTGAAGCCAGGGTGAACGCAAGGGTAGTCCGGAACTGCTGTTGGCAGCGATCGAGTCATCACTGCTGTTGGAGGTACTGCAGTACTTAACAAATGACAAGACAGCTCCTCGGCTACATCTGTAGGCAGGAAGAAAAAGCCTTGGTTTATAAAGAAACCTGGGATATCAAAGTCTAAGGTCCCCTGGTATCTAATACCTTAAAGGCCTCTTTCATTTCAAGTAAACCACACCACCCCCAAACTCACAAAAAGCACTTGGTGTAGAAGCAGTACAAAGGGACTGCTCAAAACTGTGAAAGGAATATTTCAGGCATGTCTTTGCTAGAAAATTCAAATCCATTTCTTTCTTACCTGCTTGTTCTTGTGTATTTACATTAGCAAAGTAACAGAAAATAAACATTTGGGAAAGTGTAACCGCATTCATGCCTTTTGGTGAGGTTGTTTTCTTCAACTACTTTAAAGATGCTCTTAGCACATGTCCTAGTTAATAATAATACCATATCAGAAATACATTGAAACATAAGATTTGGACATTCTGACTGCTCGGTAAGCTTATGATACAAGCAGGAAATTCTTCTAACCTCCCTTCCTTCTACCCCCACTTCCCATAAAAATACTGTTTTCTAGAAAACGTTTGACACCACCGCTAGCTATTGCTTTACACGTTGTAAATGCCAAGTTATACAAACAACACCAGGTGTATGGTGACAAGACAGAACACTGCCTATTGATGGGCATAGTGGTGTTAGGTTGATGGTTGGACCTGATGATCTTAGAGGTCTCTTCCAACCTTAATGATTCTATGATGCTCATATATTGTATATCCTGAAAAGGACTAGTACCAGCTTCTTCTAATGCAATGGAAACTACACTACTGTTGAACAGTCGACAATTTGAAAGATTAGCAAAAAAAAAGCCCCTCAGACTACAGGCTAAACCAAAATTAAAATAGTACACAGGCAGAGAGGGTTAACGCACCTAGAAAATAGTTCTTTATTACAGGGATTCTAAAAAACCAAATTTGTATTACTTACCTTTTCGTAACCCCGGAGGTTCTGGAGGAACTTCTTGGGTTGGATCAGCAATTGGTTCTGATGCAAGATTACCAAATTCTTCCTCGCTGCCAAGATTTAGCTTCTTAAAGTCCTCAATCTCTTGCTGAATTAAAAAAAGCAAATTGTAAACACAAAGCACGGTAACAGGTATCATCCTGAGGAATGGGTGAATTCCATAAAAGAGAAAATAAGCAAGCCAAAACTGACACACAACTACCCGTACACAGCCAGTACACTCTTCTTTTAATGAAAATTGAAGGAGTCTTTAGCACACATGGTAAAAAAAGTTGCCACAAACACTGCATATAAACTTCTAATGCAGCTCACACCACACTAGCTAAAAGAAAGTTACACCAACAAATGGGGAAATGTAAGGCCATCTACATGTGATTTTTCAGACAAATAAGACATAAAAATGACAGATCCTGCCCCTTGCCAAGCCCAAAGCCATCTTTCTTCTGTAATCAGCATGCCAGGGAAGGTTCTAACAATTCAGGGCAGCAGAGGAGGCCCTGCTCCATTCCTCAAGCTATGTCTAAAAAAAGCCAGCATTTGTAAATTAAGTGTCCAGTGGTTTTTTTGGGGTATGGCGGGTTTTTTTATTTTTAGCTTAAAATGCAAAAGGATGGGATTTTCCAAGGTACTGGACAGCATCTCAAATCATTTGCACTCCTACTCAACTGAAGGTGGGACATGTGTGCATGTACATGGTGTGTGTGAAAAGCCTTGTTTAAATCATGGTCAAGAACATAACAACAACAACAAAAATATTTTATCTCGCTGTGTGCTACTGGGTTGGCCAAAAACTAACTGCAGTTTTTTCTGCGTAAACGAAAGGTGAATTTTTCATGGGACACAAGATTTTATTAAAAAAGAGTGTCCATTTTGTTCAATTACCTTTTGCCATCTTTCAGGCAACTTCATGATTCTGTGCTCAAAAAAGTTCTTATCTTTTTCAGCCAAAAACAGTTCCAAGAACGATTCGATATCCTCATCAGCAGTGAGGGTTTTACCATTCAAGGCATTGTGTAAAGAACACAACAAATGGTTGTCTGATGGTGCCAAGTCTGGCGAATCTGGTGGATGTGGTAACACATCCCATCCAAGCTGCAGCAATTTCTGATGAGTGACCAAACTTGTATGGTTGAGCATTATCATGAAGAAATACAACAGCTTTGTTATTCACCAACTCTGGATGCTTCCATTTGATGGCATAATTTAATTTTTTTTAAATTTAGTTGATGACAGTACATGTCCAAATTAATGGTTTGGTTCCTTAGGAGCAATGCCAAATACACAATTCCTTTGAAATCCCACCAGACTGACAGCATCACCTTCCTTTGGTGAATATCTGCTTTTAAGTGCTTAGAGATGGTTCATCATGCTTGCTCCATGATCTTTTTCATTCATTATTGTTGTGGATGATCCATTTTTCATCACCTGTTATTACACATTTCAAAAATGGATCATTTTCTTCATGTTTCAAGAGAGAATTGCAGATGTCGACAGGCTTAGTGAGATTAATTTCTTTGAGCTCATGTGGTACCCAAACATCGAGATTTGTAATGCATCCAAGTTGTTTTAAATGGTTTTCAATGCTCAATTTTGATATGTTAAGATTATCAGCAATCTCTCGTGTCATTAAACACCGACTGGATTTGATCAATGTCTTTGTTTTGTTGTTATCAACTTCAATTTGCCTTCGTGAGCGTGGTGCATCTTTAACATCAAAATTTCCAGACCAAAATTTAGCAAACCGATTCAGACACTGCCATAGTTTTAAGGCACCATACACATCTTCACTATACACATCACATAGCTTTCTATGAGCTTGCAGAGAGCTTTTTCCTTTTCAGAAGTAATACAGCAAAACAAAACAAAAATGTTCCTTTTGATTTTCTGTTTTGAAACTGATGCCAAATAAATAATTGTTAACAAAGTCATGCACTTTCTTTTTCTAAAACAAGCTTGAACTGTCAGCTGTCAAGTTACATAATGAATTTGTGATTTAAAATTAAGTCAGTTACATTTCAAGACATCTATGTCCATCTATTAAAAAGAAAAACCCAAACACCACAATTACTTTTTGGCCAACCCAATATTTCTCACTCTCCTCTTCCAGTTTGCTGGTATTTTTAGTTTATTCTTTTTGTAATAAAAACTTCATATTCTGAATTCTACCTTTATTTCTTGATCTTATTCTCAACATTGACTTCTGCCTTTGTTAGCAACTTTTTACCCACATGCTTCACTTGTCCTTTAAGCTACTTCCCCACCTCACCCCAAGTTTACCCTTATGCACAGATAAAGCTCCTTCCCGTCACCATTTAGTCCTTAGGTAACTTTGTATTTCTGTACAGATAATATCTGCTAGTGGTACAGTGGGACTGCTTAGTCACACACCACTTGCTGGGCTCACTCACACAAAAGGAGTGAGTTTGTTAATAAACCAAGAGCTTTAAGTGACAGGACTGCAGTGTGCCATGCTGATCTCTGCCTATGACGTGCTGGAGTTCAACTCATTTTACTGTTGCTGTCGTTTTACAGTTGCTTAGTATATTTCAAAAAAAAAAAAATCGCAAAAGCTGACAATCTTGCAAAGTTCTGAAAGCCTCAAAGACGGGTCCATGCACAAGCTAGGAAATGAAAAGGTTTCTATAATAGAGATGTGCAATCCGAAGTTTCCGTTGCTCACAGAGCTATCATTCTAACAAGCTACAAGCTTAATATAAAATGACTTTAAAATTACTGTGTTACCTTCCTCTCTCAAGACTTCATCTCAGAAATGTGCCCACCCTTCCCCTATGGCAGGGGTTTGCAAATGTTATGAAACAAGCTATTCATAGAACATGAAAACATTGGAAAAGTTGAACCATCTCCAAAACGTTGAAAACAGTTCTGAAAAAGTATTCACTAAATGTTTTTGGTCAAATCTGTGACAAGAAAAAAGTTGCTGACTTTGCTTTCTACTGTTTACAATATTATCAAAGCAAAGAGTATTGAATAGACCTGTAAATTCAACTGCTGTCCATTTTTTTGAAAGAAAAGTGTAGCATTTTACAATTATGTAGCAGACGGCTGAAATTAATTTTGAAACTGTTGCCACAAGTATGGTTTTCAGGTCACAAGTGAAGAGAGTTACCTTTATGCTAGTGTCATTTTCACTCTGCTGCATCCACAAATCCTGTTCATAATAGTATAAGCCATCATTAATAACTTTAGCAAGTTCTGATGTAATTTTTGCATGGCATAGGTGGTTGTAAGTACAACCTCCAGTAGGATGTTTTCTCATATATGGTGGTGTCTGTGTTACAATCAAAATCTTGTTTACATCCTGATCATCAATTTCATAATCTGAATCGCTTTCTGACCAATCAGCAAATTCATTCTTCCGACCTTGAATTTGTTCCATCTCCTCATCAAACAAAAAATCAAGTTCTTCTTGTTCCTCTGGAGGTGGGGGAGGCTGTGGTTGATCTGATGTTTGATCAGGTATAGGAACGTTTGCCTAAATTAGAAAAGGGGACGCACTTTATATTTGAATTGGATAGTGATTATCCAAATGGGAGACAAATAGAACATGACAGAACATTTTCAATAAACGAATGTACAGGAATTAGAAACAATACAGCCACTTTCAGATGTTTGTTAAGTAATTTACTGTTCTAAATAATTCTGCCACAAGCTTTTAGAACAATTCTCAATGCACATTACGATACAGTTTTAAATAATCGACAGGTACAACTGTCCCTCAGCAGAAAAAAAACAACCAAACAGTATTTCCTTTTCATTTTAGTGAGCTCTGGATCAGGATTTTAAATGCACTTACTTATTCCAGGTCTGGTAGAGTGAGAAGTATCCACAGTAACTGTATTGCATTATCAAGCATTACATACATTGAAACATGAAAAATTTTGTTTTACAGTACAACCTGAAAGTTAGCAGGTTTTACATTTGTTTACTTAAACATAACTTGATTTTACCTTTAATTTGACCGTGGATGCATGATGCCTCTTCTTCACTTCTATCCAAGGTTCAGAGTCCAAGTCAGGCAAACTTGTAGATAATCCTTTAGACATTGCCTGAAAATTACGCGTTTCAATGTTTTCCTTTGGACTCTGCAGGCTTCCCATTCTTGGAGAACTTGGTGCAGACTCTAGCATTGGAAAACAGTAGTTTAGTTCCTGATGGGAGTTGTTTTGGTTTGGGTTGGTTTTTTTCCCATTGTTTCACTAGTCTTTTAACTGCAGCTACCATTTTTCTACCTCTATGTTTAAATATAACACAGAGCAGCAAATTTATTTTTTTTTCCATTTTTAGGACATCATTTTCACAGTTCACTCAGCATTTTAGAAAAAAATCAATTTTACCAACTTATTTATGTGGAAAGTATCTAACAGTTTGAGACGTATTGTGTGTTACTCAGAAAACAAGACCAGCATCATTAGGGACACATCCTCTAGCCCTATGGACTTGTGCCTAACTCAGTCTTCATTCTTCCCATTTACTTCCAGCCAATGTTTTAGTAAAAGATTTCCTTGCCAAGGGTTGTCAGCAAACAATGCCATCTCCCTACTAATAATGTGAACTCCCTATTAACAGCGTGAATGAGAACTCCATCCAATGCGAACATGCACCAAATAAAGAGTTAACTTCAGCTGCTACCAACACGAAGCAGGTTTTATGACTAACTTAAGGTTACTATTACTACTACAACAAATGAAGGACTGGAGTCTATCACACTATATTCTGGAGAGTGGCCACAGCCGTAACACAAAAGGCACATTTTTATCTACTTCACATCAGCCATGCCAGCCACATGAGCTGGCAACTGCACAGCTGGCAGGCACATCAGCTGAATAAACTGCTACCAAATGTACAACTTCAATCATGAAACCAGTACCAAGAGGTAAACTTCCTATGCTGAATAGTCCTAAATTTATGTTTCTATAAAAATATAACCTTTACCAGTATGCGAGCCAAAACATTGGCCTGGTACGAATTCTGGACAATTGATGAGCTGAGAAAAGTCAGTCGGTGGTAGACTGCACGGAGGGGGACCTGGAATCGGCCACTTTTCTGGATCAACCCTTTTTCTTATCTTCTGATCCACAGTTTCAACTTCTGTACTGTCCTTCAGGGCCTTTGTGACAAGCATATCATAGCTTTAAAAACTTCACGTATCCAGCACCATCCAAAGAAGAAAAAACCCCCCTAACTTTGCCATTTAATAGCCTCTTTATAAAATCCTTGGCATTGCAAACAGAAATTTTTCTTAACTTCATAGCATGGACTTTAAATGGTGGTACAAAATTAATGAAACAACTTTCTACACACGTCCTTATGAATTATTTTACCTCCAAAATGAGTGTAGCATTTGTAGTCAGAGCTTGCATCCGACGGAAGCTAGCAATCAATGAAACAGGCAGAAATCCTTGTTGGTCCATCTTCCTCCTCAGAAAGAAGTCTCTTTCCAAATTTTCTGTGCTGAAATAATACTCACTGTGAAAGAAACATGCAAATATGAGCCTATTATAGGTTAAAGAAAATCTGAAAATAGCAACTGAGAAATTCCCTGTTAAAGTCTCCATTAAAAACAGAGCACACTTTGCTCTTTCAACAGGTGTATCACTATAAGTAAGAGTTACAGAAGAGCACGCACACTCAAAATACTAAGAGACGATCCAGTACAGTACGAGGGTATGAATCAAAGCCTTGTTACAACATCGACATATATTAACTGCATAAGGAAAAACTATGCTCAATTTTTTGTTCACCCGTCCTTTCCCTTATTACTTACATGAACAGAAGGAAACAACATTCTCTCAGCCTCCATACAGATGAAGGACAACTACTGCTTACAGGCAGGGCATACGTTATTTCCCACACAGCAGTATCAGTGCACCTTCATCCTGAACTGTATCTTTCCTTTTCCCAGTTTCCAGTATATTAGAAGGTTTAAGTGTCCTATCTGAGTGTTGAGGCACGTGTATGTACTGTGAATCATTAGTTCAAGCATGCTTGTGGGAAGATGAGAAAATAAAACCAGTAATTTTGTATTTGTCATGAAACTGTACCAAAAGGCACAACAGTTCATGGGGAAAGGTAAAGTCTAAAAGAAGAGATTATTTTAGTGGATAAAGAGAAGAGGAACAAGGACCATTTCAGGAATCTGACAATACCACAGAACAAGAGAGACAAGGGACAAAGAAATAGCAGAAAGACAGATCTTCAACAATGAAGTTGCTCTATGAAACGATCAGGTTACTGAGGTGTTTTATGCTTACTGAAGAGGAAAAGTAAGGAATTTGAATCATGATCTGTCATACAAAGCAAGGGAACAAGAAAACATCCTATGAAAAAGACTGTAAAAAAAACAATTTAGTCATGATGACTAAAATCTAGACCTTTCACAGAGTTTACACATCATACTATGAATTTGTATATTACATCCAAGGAATACTAATACTCATCAGCTTCAGGAAAATGTAGGTAGTAAAATATTTAGTGAAGAATAATTAAAATTCTACAACACAAAAACAGAGGTAGTACAAAATAAAACTAGAGGAAATACAAACCACAAATGGAAACATAAAGTTAATTCTAATTTCAACAAAATAAAATCCTTAGTGTCTCTGCTGGAGTTGGGCTCAAGGCAAAAGTTACAAAAAGGAGAGGATTGATGCCATCATTGACCCAAGAAGAAGCTTGATACCATTTCTTTCTATAAATTTTGGTAGCTAAAGAAATTTGAAGAAAAATCTCTCTATCTGAAACACTCAGCTCCAAGACAGAATGAACACAAAGTCTCAAAGTTGGGCAACAAGACATACAACAAATGAAAACACTGCCATTGAATCAGAGCAAACAGAGAAGAGAATAAGGCTTTCAGAGAATTAAGCTCCTACTCAGAGCTAAGTAAGGTGATCAGTGAAGCAACTGCACACAAAGAGAAAGTTCTTTCAAGAATATTTTGTTTAGTGTTCTGAACTACAACATCTCTTTCCCCCTCCCAGCCTAGAAGATAAGCAAGCACAAAAGCCATATCAACACTTTACTAATATTACCTTTACAGTCATACAGTAAAGGTAAAATCTTGTAACGATTCACCTAGTTAAAAATTCCACAAGCAGAAATGGACAATGACTGAACTTGACTCAAACTGCCTCACTTGATGTCCATCACTCTAGAAAAAGGAACGTGAGAGACCATTAATGATGAATGAAGACAATGCATAAGCTTGCTCCAAGTAGAGGGACAAACCTAAGCACACCCATACTCCACCTTTTCCTCTCTTTTTCATTCTCCTCAGTCCCTTTGCTTAGTCCCGAATTGATGCGTAGGCTTGGATGCATATCTGAACTTTTATTTATTTCTTTATTTTCTATAGAAGAGGACTTGAATGGAGTTCTACTGCATGTCGCAGACTGAGGAGTTGCTAAGCCCTGAAACTTTTCAGGCTGACAACTTCAGCCTGTAATTAAAAACGTTAAAGATTTTTTTTATGTAATACAAATATTATTCTCTCTTGTACATCAAGCTGGCTCTCAGGACAAGTATAAACTGCTTGACAGCAGTGTATTTCTTACAGTAACTACACAACAACTCAGCTGGACAGAGTCTTGTTTTCCCTATTAAGCAGGTAAACTGTTTTAAAGTCATCAATTCTCTAGGATGCAAACCAATCTCACTTCCCTAACATATCCTCATCTATCTTGGACTCTGTAAAGAACTTTGAGAGCTAACAGTTCTGTGTAGTTTTACTCTGTATATACTTCCTGTTTTGGCACTTTAATATTTTATAACTAAATTTTGAAAGGCAGGCAAAACCATCCTCATTTAGAAGCTAATAATAGGTAATTGACGAATAAAGTCTGTTTCCCATCATTTTCTAATGTGATTAAAAAAGAGTGAATAGATAACAAAACCACTTTTTTTTTCAGGAGCATATAAGTAGGGAAGTTATGTCCTAAACCTGCTCAGAAATCTCTACCTCTCTCATGAAAAGCAAACTCCATAATCAAACTGCCTTAGGAGTTTATATCACACAAGCAACCAAAGGCTCTAGTTAGCCAGCCATGCCAAGTCTTCTACTGACACCTGTCAACCTCTTGTTGCTAAAATAAAATACAAATATAACCAGAAGTCAGATGTGACCAATGCTGTAACTGACATTTTTCTCAGCAGAGGGGGACATCACCATGTCCTACCTTAGAAGGTCTGGATTCTACACTGCATGCCCAGAAATCTGGCCAACAGTGGAGTGTCTGTGCTCCTCCCTCACTTGTCTGAGGACAGTGCAGGCCGATTATCCTGACATGGGGGTACATGTCCACTGTCAGGTCTCATAGGGGCCTGGCAGCAAGAGTAACAAAAAAGACTGCAATAGAAGTTTTGAAGTTGATAGCCACATGCCAGATACTTTCTGCCCTTAAAGAGGCTTTTCTCTTCCTTTTTGCGTCAACTGTAACAAAAGAAGCAAGAATAAAATAAGCAAGTTGCTTTACGGAATACGAGGGCAATCAAAAACCACCACAAAGGCATCACAGAGAAATGCCATTGCAAGTACAGAAGATGGAAATATCTGACAGTGGTGGAAACTCTCTCTTTAAAATGAACTAGTGGTTTCCAGGCCCTTTTTGACATGTCTCCTGGCGATTATCAGTCTTCCAGATGGTTTCTCATTGCCTAATGGTGTACACGAGAAAGCAAACATTTCAGATTATTGAAAAATCAAGTATCATTGCAAAACTACTCTCCTTCAGTTAAATGTTTCTGATGAAACACTCTGAAAACATAAAACTAACAAGATTTCGCAAAGTGAAATTGAGAGCAAATAAGGGAAACCTCTAGCTACATCACCCAAGAAGAGCTTTATAGGCAAACAGACCAACAGCACTCAAAGGCACAAGCTCAGAGACATCCATATCTCAATTACATGACAACATAAAAAGGCGGCTATGTACCATAAATAAAGCAGGTACACAAGTTAGAGCCAGACTACAGCACAAGATGCAGAACAGCTTCCTTAAAATTCCTCCCCATCACTCAAGTTCTTCCACCCTACCATTGAATAAATTCAAACTGACACTGGTAACAGTCAAATCAAAAAGTTAAATTGAAGTGCCTTAATCTCCATCTTTATATGGATATTAAGGATTAAACACTTGCTTGAAATGAGTTATTTTATCTTAACTAGATCTCTAAAAATACATGTATATTAATCTACTTACATTTGATGTTTTATATATTCTTTGAGAAGTGCTTCATCCACAGAATATATCTGCACTCCTGTTCCAGCATCATAGTAATACATTATACTAGCATTAAGCTCAGGTTGAAATAGTTGGTCAGTGCCTTCACCATACAGTTCTTGATAATCAACTGAATATTCAAAGCTCACTTGAAAATAAGGGAGAACATAAAAGAAAGATGATTAAAAATGTTCAGTCGAACACAGAAGTACTTCAAGGCATGATACACACTGCTACTTTACTATTGTTTTTCAGTATCTGATTCTAGAAAAACTCGAACTGCTTACACTAAGTCACAGGATACGTTTTTTGAGACAATTCTTACTTCATGTGCAAACAACGACATTATAAACACAGATTTGAAGTTTTTACTAAGCATCTACTTCTCTGCATACTTCTAGGGTTTCCTCTGCCTCGTCCTCTTCCTCTGCCTCTACTTCTTCCTCTGCCTCTGGAGAATCCTCGAACACTGCCACCCTCACTTCTCAAGCTGCACAGTTCATCGTGATCATCTCTCTTTTCTCTGTCACGGCGCCAATCTTTGAGAGAAAAAAAATAATACTTGAAATAACAATTTAAAATCACAGTATAATTATGCAGTATCTGGTTTATTCCTAGGTATTAACCATAAAATATTGCACTGGAAAGCACCTCTCTCCACTCTCTGGATGCTCAGAAAGGTCGAAGGAAGTGACAGTACAGAATATATGATTAGTGTCAGAAAGCCCTCCGTAACAGAATCCTCAGCTTGTGACCAGGCAATCCAATGACCCAGTCATGCTGGCTGAAGCAGAAGGTCAGATCTGCAGCTGCAAGGGTGAGATGGTGAGGTCTGCCCAGCCATGCCTAAGGGCGAGTCAGGCAGAAGCTGTTAGCAATGAAGAGTAAACGGGCTTGACTGGCAGTCAATCTCAAAAGCTTCTGAAGCAACTGGACACTCTGGTGCCAGCTCAGGGATCACAATACCTATGATAGGCATGGGACAGGAAAGAATGACCATGCAATTCTCCTCCCAGGTGTGGTAATACAGTCTGCTCCTGTGGACAACTCCCAGTACCTAGAGAGAGCCAGGAAGAGCTGCTAGCTCTTGATGATCCTGCTCGAGGTGGGATTTCCACAGTGATGGCTCTCTAGAGGCTTCCCTTTTGTTCCCAGAAGGAGCCATCTACTGCTTCCCCAACTCTGTTCATTTAACAGCAATCATCTGTTCTCTGCTGATCCTGCCCCAAACTGAGCTTTTAACTTAAAATTTAACTCCTTTTTGATAACACATGCAAATCTGAGACGACTCTGTAAGAATCTATGTAACGTTTTCATATAAATATGTGGTCTGCATATAGCAAAAGAGAGCAAGAAAGAAGCAGGAGAAAAGAATAAAGGAAGGAAAACAAGTAGGTCCAAACCAGACCTTAGGGACCTTGGTTCTACTCATCACAAAACTTAACAGGTGTAATTCTCACTTTACTCATGAGAGAAAATGAAGCATTCTCTCACACACACTCTCTCACATAATTTCCTTCTCAGTTCCTAACACTTGGAGACTTTCATCTTCAGTCAGTCACCCTTGCTTAAAGTTTCTTTAAGTTGTGATTGTACAGTCTTCCAGGTCCTGGCGACCTCTCTGCCAGAGGAATGCCTGGGGATACAGCCCCTTCTCAATCAAATTGGGAGTTGCAATATTTAACAGGGGACTGACTAAAGACATGATTTGTTTGTATTAGAACTCTAGCTTTACTAGCAATAATCTTTAATGAACCCTGTAACAAAATATATATGCTCATACATTAAAGTTCCTGTACTTTATTTTCTGTCAAATAAGACTCTGAATTTATTAGTATCATAATCTGTATGTGTGTGCATGTGTCTCATTGGGAATCTGGGCCTTAGCCTTCATGCTTGCTACCCTCAACCTTGGAGATCCCAAATGCGTAGGCATCATTTGAACTATTCCCCAGAACCCGTTTCAATTTTGCACTCTCAGAGTACATGTGGCTCTTAGACACAAGCAGAAGTCCTGCATATAACATGTACATCCATTGGACAACCATAAATCCATGGGCCCTGATGGGATGCAACCGTAGGTGCCAAGGGAGCTGGCAGAAGTCATTGCTAGGTCATTCTCCATCATCTTTAGTAAGTCATAGACAACAGGAGAGGTGTCTGAGGACTGGAGGAAAGCAAATGTCACTCCAGTCTTCAAAAAGGGCAAGAAGGAGGACCTGGGTAACGACAGACCAGTCAGCCTCACCTCCATCCCTCGAAAGGTAATGGAACAGCCTATCCTTGGCACTGTCTCCAGGCATATCAAGGAAAAGAGGGTCATGAGGAGCTGTCAGCACGGTTTTACCAAGGAGAAGTCATGTCTGACCAACCTAATAGCCTTTTATGCGGACATAAGTAGGTGGATAGATGCTGGTAGGTTAGTGAATGTGGTTTATCTTGATTTCAGTAAAGGATTTGACACTGTCTCCCACAGCATCCTTGCAGCTAAACTGAGGAAGTGTGGTCTAGCTGATTGGATAGTGAGGTGGATTGTGAACTGGTTGAAGGGAAGAAGTCAGAGAGCTGTGGTCAGTGGGACAGAGTTTAGATGGAGGCCTGTGTCTAGTTGACTCCCTCAGGGGTCGGTACTGGGACCAGTACT